TTTTTTTTTTTTTTTTTTTTTTTTGAGACAAAGGCTCAAACTGTCACCCTGAGTAGAGTATAGCAACCTCAAACTTCTGGGCTTAAGTGATTCTCTTGCCTCAGCCTCCCAAGCTACAGGCGCCTGCCCACCACAATGCCCGGCTATTTTTCGGTTGTAGTTGTCATTGTTGTTTGGCAGGTTGGACTGGATTTGAACCTGCCAGCTCTGGTGTATGTGGCTGATGCCCTAGCTGCTGAGCTATAGGCGCTGAGCCGGATTAATTCTTATAACCTGTTTTAAACATCCCAGCTGAGAAATCCTACTTGCTTTTTGATTTAAAAGTACCTTTCAAAACTATAGGAAAAAAGTCATCAGCGGTAGTTCTTTTTCTAAATAAGGCTTCAGAGTGCATGTTTTACCTTCCAAGTTAGTTTTTCTTTCTGGGTGCAATTGAAGTCAGAATGCTGAAATGAATGTAAGTTATTTATCATAATCTCTGCTTGTGCTTCCATCTTGCTTAACAGCATGGAGCACAATTCAAAACAGCACTCTTTTAAAGCCTGGGTTGAATCAAAGGGTGAATCAGTTTTCTCTTAACCATGGAGAGAGACTCAGGATTGTTTATTTTATTTATTTATTTTTTTTGAGACAGAGTCTTACCTTATCACCCTTGGTAGAGTGCTGTGTTGTCATAGCTCATAGCAACCTCTAATTCCTGGGCTTAGGTAATTCTCTTGCCTCAGCCTCCCAAGTACCTAGGACTATAGGTGCCCACCACAGTGCCCCGTTATTTTTTTGTTTTGCAGTTTGGCTGGGGCTGGGTTTGAACCCACCACCCTTGGTATATGGGGCCGGCGCCCTACCCACTGAGCCACAGGCACCGCCCGTCTGCACTGTTTATTTCTTACTCCTTCTCAGTACCAGAAACAGCCAAGCTAGAATAGCAAGCCTTTGAAAGAAATGTCTTGGGATAAATACATACTTTCATCTACTAGCCTAGGTAGTGTTGCTCCTCCACCCCCCAAACCCTGGAATATGCTCAAAATAGCCATTGGAAACAGGCAGCTGAAACTGTGTATTTATACACAGTCCTTCAAATTAGAAATCCCAACAGTTACCTGAATTAGATCAGGTTTCATGTCAGAACCACAATCTTGGAGAAAACTTAAAAATATGCCACATACTAAAACTGCCTGTTTTTTTTTTAGAAGTCTTTGATCAGTACTAGTTTTTAAATTGAGAGCCCTGAGGATTAAAGACCTGGAGTAATATATTTTATGTACTAGGGAAGTTATAAGTAGCAATCCTCTGAGCTTTATGGAATCCCAATCACTCTGAACACCAAGACCCCAGATCGGAGACCTAACTACACACAGTGTCATGTTCAGCTACAGTGGGGACACTTGGGCCCTTGCTGCCCACTCAGACCCCCCGGGGCAATGTGAGATGGCAGAGCCCTTCCTTTTGGAGGACAGTACAAAGTCAGCCACTGGAGCCACTGCTTTAGACTAAGGACTCAGGTAGCGAAGCACAGGGACTGTTGCCTCTGTCCCCACAAAAAGTAGAAAGTGAAAAGGACTTGTGGAATTTTTAAAATCAACATTGATGAAAGTAAGAGCAAATCAGTTTACATCTTCACTATTAAATGCCACTAAATGTATAAGGGCTGTTTGGATATCTTTAAAATAAAATTCTCTAAAAATCTATATATTCGTAGCAAAAATTATTCATGCTCAAGTTGTCAAAATGCCTTTGGATGGCTCCTAAATAAACCTTGCTTATATAACTTGGGTTAAATGAGTTGTCACATTTCCCTGTGTGTCTAATTATGTAATGTCATCTTGGTTCATTAGTTAATTCCTCTGTTATTGTGGCTCACTTATCCTTTGCTGTATTCTCAAGAGAGGGTTTCATTAATGCGGTGAGTTGACTGAAAATGGAAAAAAGTTCATTGAATTCTCTAGCAAAAAGTGACTTTTGGAGGAGAGGTGATTATCTAGACTCTTAATCTTAGTTACCCCACTCCATTTACATGCCTCCTTTTGGGTCCCAGATCACCTAGATTTGCTGCAGTATGTGAATCTTCATTTCTGAAAACTGGTACTACCTCTTCAAGAGATTTGTAGAGATGCACAGCTCGCAAATAATCCTTTAAACTCTGTGAAACCGGTTTGTTTGTTGATGCAATTCTGTATTAATTATTCTTTAACTGGTTAAACATTATTTTATTTTTCATTAGAAATAAAAAATAACCCATGACCTTGTTTTTCCCCATCCCTGTTGTCCCTTTAGGTCAATAGTGGGGCGCAGATTCTTTTTTATCCTTGGAACTTTGTACCTATATCGCTGTATCACAATGTATGTTACTACTCTACCTGTGCCTGGAATGCATTTCCAGTGTGCTCCAAAGGTACGTACTTCTGAATCACCACGCAGAGGAATCAAGAAAACAGACACTGGACACCTACTCTGTATTACACGTTCTTCTAGACACTTCCATATGTGTTAATTGAAATCTAGCGTAATGTTCTGTTTTTCTTTACATTTGGAGGGAAGAAATGAAAATGTGCTCAGAAAATGTATATCTTTTGCTAAAAAAAAAACTTATCTTCTGTTAACTAAAAGTTACCAGTGGCAGTCTGAGTCTGCTTTTTCACCTCCTCATTTACTTTGTCATTAACGTATTCATTCTTTAAGCATTAAGGAATGTACCAGGCAGTGTACCAGGCAGTGTAGTAACCAAAACAAAGTCCCTCTCCTGGAGCTTCTATTCTATTGAGGGATGAGAAATGATGAACAGATTTATAATTTGTCACATGATACTAAGTCAGGAGATTGTCAGATGAAGAATGATAGGCTGGGGCGGTGCCTGTAGCTCATACACCGAAGCTGGCGGTTTCAAACCTGGCCTGGGCCAGATAAAAACAACTGCAACAAAAAAATAACCAGGTGTTGTGGTGGGCGCCTATAGTCCCAGCTACTTGGGAGGGTAAGGCAAGAGAATCATTTAAGCCTAAGAGTTTTAGGTTGCTGTGAGCTATGATGCCACTGTACTCTACTGAGGGTGACATAGTAAAACTCTTGTCTCAAAAAAAAAAGAAAAGGGAGTCTGAGGTAAGAAGTATTTTACACAGGAGTCAGGAAATACTTCTTTAAGAAGAAACCGCTTGAGTAGGAACCAAGAAGAAGTGGGCCATGTGGGTGGGCTGAGAGCTCCAGGCCAAGAAAACAGGTTAGTCCCTGTAAGTTCAAGGAAGAGCAGGGAGGCCAGTGTGTCTGAGTGGAGTATGAAGGGTCACAGGGGCGCAGATCCCTTTGGATCTTGTGGTCGGTCCACTGTAGGAACTTCAACCTTGGTGGGGACAGTGCAAGTAATGAGAAGTAGTCTAATTCCAGATGCATTTTGAAGGTTAGGAACAACAGGATGTGTTAATAAGTGGGATATAGGCTTGAGAGAAAGAAGTCAAAGATGACCCCAAAGATTTTAGCAGTTGCAAAGACAGAGTGGTCTTTTGCTGAGAGACATCTGATGTCTACTGAAACTGTCTAAGTAGGAATAGCATTTTCTCCAGGTAAAGTTAGTTTTTGAGAGAGCTGTTAATCATGTTAGGCTACAGTATATACTGGCTTATAAAATGGAAACTTAAAATCATGTGCTTTCTGGACAAAGGAATGAAGACTAGCATCATATTTTACTGAACATTAAACAGCTGTCTGGGGTAAAGGAAAAATAGAGTTGTTTTGCAGAAGTCAACAGTCTCCTTCACCAAATATAGATGTGGTTTGAAGAAGCCATACTTTTCCAAAGCCATCAAAGCAGTAAGCTTCTGTAATTAAACAGTGTATATATTGAATGTAAACATTGGCTGATTTTTAGTGATACTAATTTAAGGTGTGGGAGGAGTTCAGAAGCATAATAAACGCTTCTGGTGGGCTATTGTGATGTGTTAAATGGAGAAATGGCCACAGAAAGGAAGGCAGGCCCATCCTGGTAACAAGTAAAGGATGAAGTTTGCAGGGATGAATTGCTATGATTACAGAAAGAAAGTAAATTAAAGATTGTCCTCTGTGGAAGAGTTGCAATTTTCAGAAGCCACATCAGTAAATGTGCTGCTGGATAACCAAGCACAAATACTCATTATGGAGGCGATGCTAACAGCCTTACTAATCATCTCATGTTCAGTTGTCAGGACCTCTTCCTGAAGCATAAGCAGGCTATACGTGCCTGAATTGTGGTTCACTAAAACAAGCACAAGTCACTTTGTTTTCACTAGAGGTGATGTGGCATTACAGAACAGGTGTCTGAACTACCTCCTAAATTTGGTTCATCTGCTGACTTTGAGTGATGCTTATATCTTTGTGGTTATAAGGCTGGTAGGTAATCTGTCCCCTGTGTTGCTGACTCTGTTGAATGCCCTCTGTGACTGTGGGCCATGACAGAACTTGGTATACTAAAGCCAGGCACTGTGGGAGGGTGTCAGATGCCGTATTTGATGCCCAGTGCTCACCAAATGTGATCCCAAGAGTCAGTGCAGCGAAACTGTGGCTTTCACCGGTTTCCTTTTGCCTTCTCCCTTATTTATCCTGTAGTTTAAGTCCCTTGCTTATAATTTGCTTCAGCTGCCAACCCAAGCTTTGGTTTGCAGTCAAAGAATTTGTTCTTTGAAGTGTGTTTAGATAATTTTTGGCCCGTTATTATGAAATAATTACATGATTTATTTTTTCAAACCCATTTTGCCACATACTAGAATGCTTGGCTAGGATAGGGATGAACGCTTGCCCTGAGAGAGTTTTCTGGGGCTGGCTCTCCCTCTCACCTTGGCCAAATGACTTTTCTCCTCACCTGAGGGAACAGTGTAAACGGTAAGGTCTCTCATTTAGCAACAGCCAACATGGCCTCTCCTGTGCCTTAGTTATCTTTGTGGGAAGTGTATATGGAGGTTATGGTTGGAGGAACCTTAAGAGCACTTGAGCCCCTGTCTGCTTCAGCTATTTTGATTGAAGCTTCTCCTCCTAGGTTTCTACATATTCAATTCCATATTCAGTAATGACATAGAATGGAATCTGAAACTGAGGAAATTAATAGGAATTGGAGTCTTATTTTATGTGTGATGGGAGAATTTCAGTGAATTAGGATAGACTTAGGAAAAAAAATCCATTAATACTGACACTATTCTCCCCTCAATCCTCAGTTTTCTTTCTACTCTTTTTTTCTTTTATTGAGGTTCTATTTAGCATTATAGTGGGAATGATCTGATATCTTGATAACAGTGACAAGATTGAGGAATTAAGAACTAAGACGGACAAAGAAGAGTCTTTCCTCTGTTCTCTAACATTGAATCAATGTGAGCAGAAATCTCCATACACCACCATTGCTGAAAAAAAGAGGAAAAAATGTGCAGCCTATTTCAGCTCCTAGTTTATTTATACCTTTTAATCCATCAAACTCGAATAAAGGGACAATGGCTTTAAGTGTTTCTGCCCATAGAAAATTAAACTATAGAATTGGGATGGGTAATTGGATTAAAAAAATATTTTTTTTTTCCACTCGGTTGCCCTGGGTAGAGTGCTGTGGCATAATGGCTCATAGCAACTTCAAACTCCTGGACTCAAGAGATCCTCTTGCCTCAGCCTCCTGAGTAACTAGGTCTACTGGCACCTACCACAACACCTGACTATTTTTTCTATTTTTAGTAGAGACGGGGTCTCACTCTTGCTCAGGCCAGTCTTGGACTCCTAATCTTAAGCAATCCACCACCTCGTCCTTACAGGGGTGAGCTACTATGCTGGCCTGTTAGGGTTTTGAAATGAAGAATAATGTGTTCTTTTGAAACTGAGAATGCAGTGGTTAAAGTGTAGGTACCTTTTTATCAGATATCAATGTTAACGATTGTTTGTACCAACCTCGTGAACAAGTTATTGAAAGATTATGGCTAGATGTGATAAAGCACAGGGCATGACTCTGACTCTATCTTAGATATCAGGGACAGGTTCCCTTACATGGTGTAGTTTGTAGTACACCTCTTCTGAGGCATGCTCCGAGGTGAGTCATGCAACTCTGTCAGCAAGCCTCTTGTCTTCCTCAGGTGTGCATCTTTACTGCCTTCGAGAGCCTGTCTTTTCAAGGCAGGGTCACCTGCTGCTTGGCATGTATGGTTAGCAGCCTACTCGTCCTACTGATCCTACTCTAGTCCTGCTTAGCAGCTGACTCGTCCTGGGGCCTGCAGTCTGGCCCTCCAGTGGTCTGAGGGATAGTGAACTGGCCCCCTGTTTAAAAAGTTTGAGGACCCCTGGTTTAAGGACTGTGTACTTTTGGTCACACATGTATGTTCTCCTGGTTTTGCCACCTGGGCTTATCATAGGCAGACTGTTGCAGAAGGTGAAGTTTCTTCAAAACCCTCAATTTCTCACCCTACCTATAATTCATTTTATGTCTGTGCAGTGCTGTACTCTCAGCCTTCAAGCAATCATAGTATGATTTTTGCTTTTCACAAGGGTCACTTGAACACCAGAAGCTTTCTCGATCTGTCAGTTTTTTAATCAGGACATTTTTAGGCACACCAAGAAGGATGTTTTAGGCAAGGGATCTTTTCCCCACTACCTACTTGTCCTGGGTAGGATGGTTTTCCACCTGCAGTGGGGCCTGGCTTAGTCTCCCTACTCCCTGTCTCCATCTGTCCGTACACACCTTACCCTCCTTCACCACTGTGCATCCACATGAGCAAGATCTGGCTCTGGCTCTGACTCTCACCACACAGTCTAACCAGTAGCATCACTGGACTAGCCATGCTTTGGAGGCCAGTCCACCAGAAGAATCATCCATTAAGTATACTAAACAGCACATTATATGCCCGTCCTCCCAGGTCCCAAGTGAATAGTCAGTGATGGTCTTGCTGTGGTTTTTTTTTTCTGCCATGTATACTACTATTATATGATCTTTTTCTGAATATCATTCTTTGATTTTTTCCTCAGCCGTTTTTGCTTTCTACTAGACTGATCTGTACTCCATCTAGCCCTCCCACATGACAGTGTGCCCATCTTATGTCTCCTGTTTTGACCAACTCCTCTCTGTATGAGTAAATTTTTTTTTTTTTTTTTTAGAGACAGAGCCTCCTTTTGTCACCCTCAGTAGAGTGCTGTGCCATTATAGCTCACAGCAACCTCCAGCCCAGAGCTTAGGCGATTCTCTTGCCTCAGCCTCCCAAGTAGCTGGGACTACAGGCACCTGCCACAATGCCCGGCTATTTTTTTGTTGCAGTTTCGCCGGGGCCAGGGTTGAACCTACCGCCCTTGGTAAATGGGGCCAGCACCCTACTCACTGAGCCACACGTGCCACCCTATACTAGTAAATTTTAACAGGGTATATAAACTTTGACCATCACCTCAGTTCCTGCGTTAGCCCAATGTTGTTCCTCATATCTTCATGGTGATTTCAAGGGGCTTCCGTATCCTTATCCAAGCAGCTTTCCCCATCTGCCATAGCATACAGGTTATTTATTTGGGGGCTATTTTTCCTGATCAAAGCTACTTATTTTTAAAGCTGCCAGCATATCCCTAATATATTATTTTTAAACCTATTTAAATTAACGATATGTAGCTCCACTTTATAACCTAAATGCTTTTATCAACATTAATATAGTTAAATGTACATTTTAGGCTGCCTGCTTTAACACAAGATGCCAATACACTGTAGAATATTGGTAATGTGGTGTACAGCTGAATCAAATATTAACCACCCCAAACCCTTACTTCCTGCTGCAAAAAGGAAAGAAAGTAGCTTTGATCTGCTTTTTAGCACATAACTGTGATGAAGTCATTGGTTATTAATATTTTTAAAAGCTTTGCCCAAGGACACACCGCCACCAAGCCATATTATTAGTAACATATTGAATAATTTAAAATGTGTCAATAAACCTTGCCAATACTGTGTATAAAACCCAGTTTGAGAAGCTTCCCCTTAGATTTTTTTGACTTTTTAGGTTACAAAGAAAAAAAAAAATCAGACTTAGATAGGCTGAATGGTGATTTTATCAGCTTGTAAATTTTCTTCTGAATCCTCTTTTGTTATTCAGCTCAATGGAGACTCTCAGGCAAAAATACAACGGATTCTACGGTTGATTTCTGGTGGTGGATTGTCCATAACTGGATCACATATCTTATGCGGAGATTTCCTCTTCAGTGGTCACACAGTTTCACTGACACTTACGTATTTGTTCATCAAAGAATGTAAGTAATAGCGCATTCTCACTGAATTGATTGCTATAGCCAGCAGAATCCCCAGACCCTGAGACTGACAGGAGCCCTTGTTGGGAGTAATAGCCACAAAATTTCAACTGTTTTTCAATAGTCACATGCACAATTTGAATTGTGAAGGCTTAAAACGTGGCCCAGGCTTCTCTCTAGCATTTATCACGCTTCCAAAACATGCTACCCATTCTTGGGTAATACTTCTTAGTAATTAAGCTGCCTTAACGTTGGAACTAAGAAGAACATATTAGTTAATTTTACTCCAAAAAGATCGGTATATCCTAAAACCAAATGTAAATGAAGTTTGAATTTAGTGTTTGTATGACACTGCCATTCTCTTATTCCAAATAAGTCAGTTAATGTTTTCCCCTTTCTTTAAACTTTATTCCAATTTCGTTATTTTTCCAGCCACCTCCTATGCCAGTGGTTCGCAACCTTCCTAATGCCACGACCACACTGCCTTAATCTCCTGGGCAGCTAAAACCAAATATAACTCGATATTGTTCATTGTAGAGTTATATTTAGTTTTAGCTGCCCAGTAAATAGTACTTTTCTAGATTTCTGAGGTTTTGTAAATTTAGGTCTATCATCTCAAAATCCTTTTGAAATAATAATGCTGCTTCTTTTATATTTGCAAAGCTGGTCAGTGTTACCCTTCATCTTTTGTTCAAGTTACCCCCTGCCAGTAGTTTTAAGAGATTTACCTAAATTCTCTTGACTCAGCATGTTAAAAGCATGTTAAAGCTCTCCTCCCCAGCCAGCCAGCTCCTCCCTCCTCTCTTGGCCCTTCATTAATCCAAACAGGCTTGGTCTGACTGAATGACAGTGTGGATAGCAAGGGTTTTATCTTTCCATGTTGCAGAAGTAGACTCTTGCCTCCCAGATTGCTTGGAGAATTGGGTTAAAGTTCTAAGGGTGGTATGACAAAAGAGTTGAGGTTCTCTATAGTAGACAGTCTTTTTTTGTGAGAACAGTTTCAGTGTCATTTCCTTTGTAAATTGCACATACTGATTTATAATAGGGAGAGTAGTAACATGTTAAGGGTGGGGCCATAGTTATACTTCAAGGCTGAGAGTCTTCTACACCTGTTGCCTCATTTTTCTTCTCATAACTTACTTATAGGGTGGTTAGCATGGGGGTCGTAGATTTGTCAATACACCATCATCAGAGGATGGTCTCTTTCTAGAATTTAGTCACTAGTTTCCAATATCTAATTTTTGGTTCAAGGGGGCAGGGGTTGGAATGATGTGTATAATTTATAAATTAATCCAAACAGGCTTAGCCTGACTGAATGGCAGTGTGGATAGCAAGGGTTATCTCCCACGTTACAGAAGTAGATTCTTGCCCCCCAGATTGCCAAGGAAAGTTCCATCTGTAAGTAATATCAATCATGTTCTAGTCCAGAGGTACATTTCAGTTGTTAGATGTCTCTGAGGATCATAAAGACCATAAGGAAAAGGATAGGGATGAGGGTAAGGAGGAACTGCACGTCAGAGACAAGGTACTACGGGGTAAAAACTAGAAAAGTAATGAAGAGAAAATACCCCAGGAAACAGAGGGTCACTTCTTCCAAATAACTGAAGAATAATAGATATTAACAGTAGTAGCAAATAGATGTAATACTCTGTCCCAGGCACTATTCTAAGCCCTTGATGCAAATTAGCTCATTTAATCCTTGCAACCAGCCCATTAGGGAGGGCACTATTTTTCTGATAAGCAAACTTAAATATAGAGAAAGTGCTTTGCCACAGTCCACAGCTAGTATCTGGAGAATCAGGTATTCAAATGTAAGCAGGTTGAACCCAAAGATTATGCCCTTAATTTCTTATCTCTGATGAGAATGTTTGGCAGTTCAAGTTGTCTGGCCCTAGAGTTGGGCAAGGAACAGCCTGCTTACCTGCGAGCAGGGTGTGTTGCTCATCATTGCTCGTCCTTTCCCCTCAGAGCAATAGCAGGGCCTCTTGTGATTAGTTCTACACTGTAATGAGCCTGCTCAGTAGGGAGAGACATGCTGTTCCCAAGGCATGGTTTTAACTTAGGGTTTTTAAAATTGTGTATGTTTTTATGTGGCAAGAATTATATTCTGTTTTTCCCCCCAATTTTTGCTGAGAAATAAAATGGCAAATCTGTAATACTTAATATAAATTCAATGTTACATAAACAAGCCATTCTGTGATTATGTGTTTCCTGTGCAATTGGGAAAAGCAGTTATTTCCTAAATTATACCATATGTTATTGTTCTGAGTAAGAATGGTTCCAGTGGTTTCTCTGAAGTTTCTTTCTAGAATTAGATGCATCAGATATTTATTTTTTGCTTTCCTGTCTTTTGATCAGTTTGGACTCTTATTTGCTCCATTGTCATGAGTGGATTTAAGTTTAGTTGTGAGCACATATAAAAATGTGGGAGCAGGGCGGCACCTGTGCCTCAAAGGAGTAGGGCACTGGTCCCATATGCCGGAGGTGGCGGGTTCAAACCCAGCACTGGCCAAAAAAAAAAAAAAAAAACATGGGATGGGAGCAGACCATTTTGGAGTTTATCAGTAAAGCCTAGGTTCCTTACAAAATTATCCTGGAGAAATTAGCCTTAGCAATTGGTCTGGCTAGTTGGTAACAGCCTTTATTTTATTTTATTATTTTGTTTTATTTTATTTTATTATTTATTTATGTATTACTCACCACCATACCAAGTCCACTGTCTCTTTTATTCAATACCAGCTAGGCTAGAATCCCGCACAGACAGTGAAGTTAATTAGTACTTGTGTCATCATCTTTTATCTCATTGTTATCCTCAGGGGTAGGATGAGAGAGCAAAGAGGGTTACTGTTTTGATATTTCTATTTCAAAATAGCTCATATTAAATCTTTTCTTTGGGTCAGCCAGTGTTCTCAATTAAGGAGTGTCCCAATGTGGTAGCATCATAGGGAATACATTTGTATGAGAAAGCGCTGCTAGGGCTTCCAGCTTTTTCTGAAATCTCACTTTCAATCCCCTTGAGTAGTTTCAGGCAACGTCCTTACTTCTTACATCTTTCAACTTTGTTTCTTATGAATAAACAACTACCAAATAATTTTGGTTTGCTCAAACATTTTGAACTTTTAAGGTAAATACTGATGATCTTATAAGCAAGGAAGCACGGTTGGCGTGAACCCTTAGGGAGGGACAGGGTCCATGGCACTGGAGAATGCATATTTAGAGAGACCTCTAGATTTCTAAATGTTAGTTCAATTTTTAATGTTCTGAGCCTAATAGAACAGTGATGGGGACTGCACCTGGCCTCCCAGGCTGCAAGAGTAAGGCCTCTGAAGCATTACAATTCTGGGATTCCATAAGCTATCTGCCAGAACTTCATGGCAAGATCAAGCAATTAAGAAGTAATGAGGAACCCATCCAAAATTAGAAAGTCAGACTTTCTGTCTCACCTGAGACCAACAGAGCAACGGCTATTTTTAAATTGGAATGATACCTGATTTGTTGTTCCCTCTGAAAGATCTGAAAATGGATCCTTTCGCTATTCAGCCATTCTTCTACATTTAAAAGTAAATATCACTATGAATGTAAACAGTTAAATATGAAATTAATTTCAGTTTATTATATTATTAATTTGTGAATTAATGAAATAGGGAAAAAAATCCAGATGGCCAAGTGACCAGAGGTAAACTCTGACTCCATTTATTTTGTCTTTAACACATGTATGAGAAGACTTTGAGGTGCAATAGCGCATTTAACGTGATGAGTGTTGTAGTTCCGTCTTACAGCTGATCAATAATTGAGCTTCCCAGTGGCCTTACCAGGAAGGCTAAAGGTCCAAAAGTGAATGGGCAAGAACCCTAAGCTTTACACAGGGAGTGCTTTATAGTTGTTCTTGACAACAACAGTGTAAAATTGCTGGGAATGAAAGTATTGTTAGCCACAGTGCCATTCCCTCCTACCTCCAACCCTACTCCACACCTGGAGAAACTGACATAAATTTAAGATCCTAGATTACTCCAGCTTTCTTATCTTTTCCTCTTATTTTCAGAGACAACTATGTTTTCTTTTGATCCCTTCTGTTTTTCTTTCCTGCAGGGTTCTTTGTGTCAGTTAGAATAAGCTAATTCCAGGCAACCTAATAAACAATTCTATTCTCTGCCTTACTAAAACAGCATATTAGCAGTGGCCAAGGCCTCAAATACCTAGCTTTCCCAAATTTCCCAATGAGTGACTGTGAGACCTGCTACCAGGAGACCTCTTCCTCCTTCCTACCTCTGCAAATCCTGGCACCTCACAGGGACGCAGTTTAGCTTACTGATTTTCTCCCTCTAGTCTTCCTGATCCTAGATTAGTCTACTTAAGGTCATTAGGACAGAATGTGATCATTAAATTCATCTCTGGGAACCTTGTTAACTCTGTAATTTTTCTACTGTCCAGATTCGCCTCGCCACTTCTGGTGGTATCACTTAACCTGCTGGCTCCTGAGTGCTGCTGGGATTATCTGCATTCTTGTAGCCCATGAACATTATACTGTCGATGTGATCATTGCTTACTATATCACAACACGGCTGTTTTGGTGGTACCATTCAATGGCCAATGAAAAGGTGAGAGCAGTGAAGATCTTCAAGTAATTTCTTGTCTTTAAATGCAGTGTGCCCTTTTCATATGGAGAGGTCTTAGATGTGGAAATAACTGCCATTGCCACCCAAATGCATCGTTTAGGTCAATTCAGGTGAACTCATATCCATTACTGCTTCTTAAAATTAAGCAAAATAAGGAACTTCACATGGAGATCATTTAAGGGTAAAAAGTGCCATAAAATTATAGAGCATAGTGTTTCACTAATTCAACTAATTTATAGTAGAATCGAAGACATATGTGTGCTAAATTAAAGTCTAGGAACCAGCATTTTTGGCTTTGGGGCACTAAAAAAAAAAAAAACAGTCCTTGCCCTCAAAGGATTAAAATTAATTTTGAGTGGCAGTTATTTCTAAAACTCGGATAAAATAAATAGCTTCTTAATTATTGCCTTTGGTACATCTTTTGGTGATGCAGGGCTCTCTGGCTTCCTTTCTTATGCTTCCTCTTTGTTTCTGCTGCTTCCTGCTTCCAGATGACCTTTTCTTTCTCCTCTCATTCATTCTTAAGGAGCTAGCTCAGATGCCACCTCTTCTGGCAAGTCTTCCCTAACTCCTTATTCTTTTCCCCTGGTGCCAAGGTAGAATTATTCCTCCCCTTCTCTGTTTTTCTAGCCTTGATATGTGTCCATGCACCATGATTTACTTATCTTTGGATAAATTTGCCATATTATATCACATATATTATGTTTATAGAGAGTTCACGAGGGATTAAAATATATCATTGCCAAAGAATCTACATGCAACCCTTGGTGTCTACTAATAAATGCCCTTTCTTTGGTTATTTTTATTTCTCTTTGTAGCTCTATTTCCTACTTTGTGGTTGCCTACGTTCATCTTCCTTCTTATACTTCCATTTTTGTATCTACTGATACGAGTGAACCAAAATTTTTATCTTTCCTCTTAAATATGTTCAAGCTTCTGAGCTCTCCTTTCCCTCTTCTGACTGCCTTGCCCTAGACCTGACCACTCACACATGCTGAAAATCATCCTTCCTCAATAATTCTCACACTCCTTCCCTGAGTCTCTATTCTTCCTGGAATTATGGGCAGAAAAAATGGTATGGGCCACAAAAAAGCAAAGGCACCTATATGTGTTGGGGGAACCAGAGTCAAGGCAGACTTGGGAAAGGGCATGAGAATAATTATTGTCACCTGATCAGAGTTCTGTTTTCCCTTTTAAATTACAGTGAATGGCAATATAAGATGCAAAGCAAGAAAGATATATCTCATTTTACTTTTTTCCCTTCTATTTACAGAACTTGAAGGTTTCTTCACAGACTAATTTCTTGTCTCGGGCCTGGTGGTTCCCCATCTTTTATTTTTTTGAGAAAAATGTACAAGGCGCAATTCCTTGCTGCTTCTCATGGCCACTGTCTTGGCCTCCTGGCTGCTTCAAATCATCATGCAAAAAGTATTCACGGGTTCAGAAGATCGGTGAAGATAATGAGAAATCTACCTGAGAAGCAAAACAGGGGCAACAGTTCTTATACCAAAAGAGTTAACGCTATAACCAAAGGTATAGTTTTGTTCCTTTAATTTTAGGAGAACTGACTGGCAAATGAAGAAGTGGACCAAACTTTGTGTAAATGATTAGAAAGATGAACAGAGTATTACCTTTAACTGGTTTTTTATTCATCCTGACAAAGATATATTCTCCTGCAGCTCTTCCTTCATTGGTGACAAGCCTTCAAACTGGCATTTTACTAATGAGCTTGTTAAAGGGTGCCAAAGAACATAGTACTCCTCTCTTTATTCTTTCTCCACTAAAACCCTCTACTTCCGAAGTTTTTTCCTTCCAAGGTCAGAAAAATTTGTTAATGTTTTAAATAAATTATCTGGATATAAACAGCCACTGTGTAAGTAGAATAACTTCATGTTAAGAGTAGGTTTTCTGTTTTTTTTATTTTTTTAGTATTACGTTTAGTGAGGGGCAGATCCATGGGTTGTGAGTCAACTTTGAGTGAACTCTGTTTTTAAGCCTGTCATGGGGAGGGCTGGGACAAAATCTGGGAATGCCCACTGCTGCTGCCACCCAATGCACTATGTATCACTTTTACTTTTTTTGGTTTTCACTGATTATTTAAAAAAATGTGATCTAGGTAAATATCAAAGTATTTGACATACCCTATAGATTTTACATATGTGCAAAATACTTTACTTTAAAATCTCTATGACAGATACATAGAAGACATGAGGATATTTCTGCTAATAAGTGGCTCCTGTGTACACACTTAGATGCTATCTGCCTGGTAAATTTGGATCTTGTATCCATAGGGCAGTCAATGATTCTAGCACAGGGTTATGTTATGTTCACACTACTTGGGGAGCAGGTCTGTTTCCCTTCCCAGTTAGGTCCTGCTGTCAGATCTGTTTTAGGGCTCATAGTTAGAACTCAGAAATACATTTGGTCCCATTTTGTTGAATACAGTTTCTTCCTAGTCACATTGTACTTTATGGAAAAACCAAGATGGAGCCCCAAAATTTAATGTATCCTTGCCTTTTAGCAAGAGACTCAGTTTCTCATAAACTGGTCCTAAGAACATATACCACAACTTAGTAATTTTGCTTTTACACTGGGAAAATCATAACATGGTGCTTCACTGTAATGTACTGTTGGGATCAGTGTGCTAGTTACAACTACACAGTCAAGGAGGCGGGTAATTGTTTCTAGATTTCTTTGAGGTGATGCAGAAGAGATGAATTTTTTAAAAACTTTGATCAGATTTAATGCATTATTTAATGCTATTTAATCTTTTGGGTAATTCTTGTCTTAATTTCTTAACTACTTGAAGGTTAATTTACAAGATTTCTTGTAACCTTAGAAAAAGTTTTAAGGTTACATAATCATCAACACTAGGGCAAAGAGTGGAGATGTTAATGGAGGGAGAGGGAGGCTGTTAGGGTTATAATGAAGGAGAAATTTCCTCTTCCCTTAGAATGGAAAAGATCCCTAAAGTTATCGTTATAAGCTAGTCGGCTTTGATTACACAAAATTGACCTTTAAATTGCTTGAGAAAAGCACAATGAAAATCTGTTTAGAAGAGTCATTATCCTGTGGTGCTAAAATTATGTGTATGTTTTCAGAATGGCTCTTTAAGTCATAGAATAATCACTGAAGGGAAGGTGGCTGAATTCAAAGGCAGGAAGCCAAACTGTCTAATCTGATTTTTAAAGTAAGGAATAAAATCTCAAATATCCTTGGCAGGAATTTTTCCAGTATTTCTTACTAAATGAACCAATAATAAACTTATATATAGTTTATCTGATGAGTTCAGACATAATTGTACCTAATTTTCACTTAAGTCCATTTGCTAAATAGCAACACTTGTGCTAGAACAAGGTGTTCCACATAAAACACTCATGTTAAGTTCCGAGATACGAGGAAAATCATCTGACATAGAGCCTGGGTTTTGAGCTAATACTCATGTTTTCCTTGAGCCTCTATTTCAAATAAAACCCTCCAGTATACCTTGGAGCCTTACTTAGCTGTGTCCTGGATAGCATACTTTTCTTCAATTAAATAAGGAAAGGTGTTTAAACTTAAAAAAATCGTTGTGTATTGATTATTGAACACCTTGAAACAGCATGCCTTGCATTTTAGTCAAGTAATCTGGTTTATAAAAAATACCATCACCTTTTAAAGAGCTTTAAAAACACCAAGGATGCGGACACAACTACTCCCAAGGTTTTCACACATACGTATCCTAGCTCTCTAATAGATGGTGAGGAAGCACATGGTTTGAAAGTAAGGGGGAGAAGGCAGTCAAAATTTCAAGACGAGAATCAAGGGAAATAGTGAAACCCACTTACATATAAGAAAGCAGACTTGAAATTTAACCCAATGTGCACTTGGGGATATAAAACAATTTTCATCTTGCTTTTAAAATGGTCGATTTTTGGAGCACCTTTTTTCTTTGCCAATTAAGATACAGATCTTATTTATTATCTTTGTTTGTTAAGCCTGTGCTCCTCTTTAAAGCTTTTCCTGTAATTTAGTTTATCTGAAGAAACTAAGTATCTGTAAGTCCTATACTAAAGGATATTTAGTCCTTCACTAAGTATCTGTGAAATATCTGTAAGTCCTATACATTATGCCACATTTCCCCCAAAGGCTTTCAAATAGAAATGATGTTCTCTCAGATTCTACTTTTTGAGCTTCTCCATTAGATTTGAAAATCTAGCATTCTTCCATCTAGCATTGTTGAACTAATTGTGAATTTGTTATTTGATTTACTGGCATCTTGGGAAAGACGTTTTGCTGTGGAGGCTTGAGCATGAGCTTTGAGTCTCTCCTGAGGTTTGAGAATGACAGCACAGTTAAGAGTTATTTGCTGTATTACCAGTGTCCCCTTGTGGTAACATGTTGTAAGAGATGGAAAGTAAACACCACTTTTAAAGTATATTTTCAAGTTTTTAAAAGGCATTTGTTTTTTATTATTTTTGCCAATAATCTGAAAGTATCATGTGAAAAGAATTATTTTAAAAGCATTTTAAACATTTCTCAAAAGGAATATGTGCTCATATTGTTAGAGATTTGCAATTCTAATCTTTTATCCATTTGATCAAAGAAACTTAGCAGAACATTTTTACCTCTCTCTACCACAATCATTACTGTCTCCCTTTATAACTACCTACACTTTGTTTACATTGGCTGTCTTTATGGGGTTTTTTAATTTACGTGCTAGAACTCATGCAGTTTCTTTTTAATCGAAAGTTCACATCTTGTTCCTTGAAGATTTTGAACGTTTCTTTCTTAATTCTTTTTTTGTTTCTACTGTAAAACTGATTTAAAATGTAAGCTGGTCTCAACACACTTCTGTAAAGAAGTGTGAGAAGGAATTTCTTAATAAATGAGTTTACACGTTTAAATCAAACATAAGTTACATGCCATGTAGTAAAGGCTTTTTTCTATTTGTATATATAAAGATTCTTGGTAGTTTTGTTTTTAAAGTCCTTGTGTTGCAATAATTTAACTCCTTTGACTCAGTCACTAAAAACATTTCTTCTATTAAGAAGTGCTCTTGACTTCAATACCCAAACACTGAAAGTCATGTCAAAGGTACCCAAAGATAAGTTTTTATATAGATACACCTTATAAGTTATTACTGATTATTCTAACTATGCTGTACTCTAAGTGGATCATCAATGAGAAGAGTGCTTTATTATTATTATTTAAGACTGTCCTGTAAATGAAAAAGATGAAACTATGAACATAAGCTAATCTAGTTGCTGAGTTGGAATTCATTATTATTTAATTTACCTCCTATGCAATGATTAATGCTGCAAAATGTCTGGTTATGTTACAGTATATTCACAAAAGAAATATTATTACAAGGTTTTGAGTGGTAGCCAATTGCATTCTTTTGGAACTTTACTATTTCAATGTGTTAAGTGCCTTGTTGTAAAGTTAAAATTTTAAGTCTAGAATTCATTATTTTCCTGACATATATTTTTCATTATATCTACTGTATGCTATTGTAATAGTTTTATTAAATGCTTATATTTTAATTAAATATGTAAATTTCAGAAGCTCTTTTCTCTTCCCCACCAATACCTTAATCCTTGGTCTATCATATTGAATTAGAATTCAGGTTCTTTTTTTTTTTTTTCCCTAGGAAAAAGGAAATTATTGTTTAGAAATGTTTTCCATGTTTGCTCTTGTGTTTGTAAAAAAAAATTTCAGGAGGAATTTAGGAGTGTAAATATAGCTTATACTTCTAAAATATTGTCTTACATTTACATTTTTAAGTGCCTAATTGTTAGTTACATCTAATTTATGTTTCTGTTCTAAAGAGGATATGTGTTCTTCATTTCTAATCTCTTTCATTTTGCTTTAAAAAAAATGCAAGAGCCTATACTTTGTATTTACCCAATAAACAGAATTAGTAATTCTGTCACAAAATTAGTATTACTGTTTCTTTCAATTTACAAAGATTAATTTAGTTTTAGAGTACACCTTATTAAAACCACAAGGGTTATTTTCTTTAAGCATTATGCTTAAAATAAGGAGGTAACCGTCAATTAAGGGATTTAAGGTAACTAACCACCATATAAAGTTATTCACAGATAAGAAGAAAAGCAATTTCACATTCGGAGTCTCTTTGTTTACAGGGGATAAAATCATTCTTCAAGGAAAGCAGAGTCTCTTCTGTCACTCATTTCTCCTCAGACCTTCATAAGGGCGGGGGGGTCCTAGTGTTCTGGCCTCAACTGGACTTTGCTAGACAGTAGCAGGTTGGAGTGAGTTGTTTTTGGAACTCTTGGGGAAAGATGAGCCCATGACCCAGCCCCTCTTCAAGACATTTCATAAAAGCAGTTCAGTGGGATGAGGAGAGTAGGATAAGGTAACATGGTTCAATGGTTACACTGTTGGATTTAGTCCAGACTTTGCCTATGCAGATGAAACCTGATAGAGTGTAGATCAGAATCATTTTTTTTGCCACCTCCACCTTATCTAGAATGCACTGTGCAAGAAACTAGCGTGAACTCTCACTCGTCATTCACAGCACTAAATGGGAGCTTTTAATAATGGGCTACTTCATCCTGGATTTTCATTGTACAAAAGCTCTTGGGTATGCCTCCCTTGGATGAGAGGACAAAAATCTCTGGGAATTTTTGAAAATGTTGAAGATAGTGATTTTTTTTTTACTTTGTTGCCCTTGGTAGAGTGCCATGGCATCACAGCTCACAGCAACCTATGACTCCTGGGCTTAGGCAAATGTCTTGCCTCAGCCTCCCAAGTAGCTAGGACTACAGGCACTTGCCACAATGCCTGGCTATTTTTTGTTGTAGTTTGGCTGGGGCTGGGTTCCTACCTGCCACCCTCGGTATATGGGGCCAGTG